CATTTTTGGGGGATTCAAACATTTTTAAATTGGACATTCAGCATGTTCCATTTTAATATTTATATAAATTATATAATGTGGACCTCCTGGCGTTATGCAATAATAGCGGCTACGCCACTATGGAGTCAGCGATATGGTTTTCTTTCATCCGTTCCCAAGTTTACAAAATATTCCGTTTGAGTCAGGCAAAACCACAACTTTGGAACAGATTGAAATGAAAGCAATACATTGTCACTTCGTGAGTTATTAGACAGAAAGGTCGTCCTTAACCCCAGTGTGCTAAGATTGGGTGATACGTAATATAGCTGTTAATGGAATCTGGTGAGACTATTAAGCAGGATAAGGAACCAGATCTAGGTTTCTATAGTTATTTGAAGTATTTGCTGTCTCTGTAGTCCCTGCTTCAAGTAAGGGAGGAGACGATTACGTTTAGATGTATAGAAGGATTGTTCATTAACAATCCGTTTCTTCGGTTTCCGAAGAGAGTCTGGTTATAATTTTATTAAACCATTTATGTTAAGCCACTGGATCTTCCAGATATATGTATATTCAAGGTCAGAACAGCTAGCATGCTATCTACTAGTAGTATCATCTTTAGGGTTTTTGATTTCTTATTTATCCACCATAAACCGTTTTTAGTGAAACTAACTTTACCTTAGATGGCGCAAAAAAGGTCTACTAACAAAAGTGTCAGATTTTTAATAGCTAGTAGTTGACGTCTCGGAAGACATTGTCTAATCGCCGACTTAGGTTTGATTGGACCCTGTGATACACATACTTGATGTTAGGTCAGGGAAATTGTTATTGTACATATAGGTGTTAAGAGATTATTTTTTTACTTTTATATTATAATCTGCACGGCCTGTGTAGGCGCTCAGTGTCCCAGCACATCGCCGTCACAGCCCGGGCTTTCAGGTATGTAGTATCATGGATTGTAATCAAAACAAAAGCCTCCAATATGCACAATAACAGTATTAACAGTCACTAGTACGAATCATGAGCCCAGCTGAAGCAATAGTCATTCTAGAAATATTATCAGTTGCATGTAAACATTTCTCTTCAAACGTTCACGTAAATTTCATTTTTCGAGTTTCTGATCAGTTTAGGGGTTAGTAAATGTTTTTGATGAAAACTCAAATATGTTGGAATCATGTTCCACTTATAGATAGATTTTTACGAGTGCACGGAAAGTACTGAGTCTATCTACTTGATTCTATTTTTAAGTCTCCTAATATGTACGCATCATGAATCCGGCATCAGTATCCTAATCATTGACTTATCTATAGCTCAAAAAGTAATGCTAAATGCTAGCATTTTGAGAATCGGCTCATTTAGAGGAGAGTAATGGGGAAATCAATAACAACAATTGGCGCCTCTCTTGGGGAAAGTATCACTTGAAGTGTGGCGAAAATTAGACAAAAAGTTACAACCATGAAATAGACAAAAGGCATTGCTTTTTTTGAAATTATATAATATTATCATGAAAGTGCGGGATACCTTGTGAAAGTGATCAATCCCACGTGCCACTCTCAGTGTAAAATCAACGTATAGACATGAGTTAACTGCTAGGCAAATTGAAAAAATGCTCGACTTTCGAGTAAATACGTGATAATACCTTTTTGGTTCAGATCGTAAAAACATCATAATGGAAAATGAATCTAAACAACTTGACTGATTTTAATTAAAAGACCAATTTAGTGATATAAAAATTTGCTCAGTCTTAATCGAAGAGTAATAAATCTCGATTCATTCTCTAGGAAGTTTTTAGGTGAGAGTTAAAAATCATACCGAAAAATGTTTTAAATGACCTGATCGATTTTTATTGCAGGACCAATGCAACAAGTCATATGATACCCCACTTAGACATATCGTACGATATTTCAGGCTGATAAAAAAGATGATATAAATCAAAAGCCTGAACAATTTGATGCAAATAGATATTTGTGATATAACCTCAAAATAGAGCGCTGACACGGAACAGTAGATAACTATGAAAATCAAGAAGAACATAAAGGCCTCTACAATTATTGTAGGAACGACACGGCCCTTAAGTATTTCAAAAAACAAGAATTTCCTAGATACGCCTTGAAATTATCAGACAGTCATTTGTTACGCATACCAGATTTATCCTATAATCTCTATTATGTTTTCCTGACTTTATTTCATATGGGATTTCAAAATAAATTGCATGTTGTCAATGCTCTTTATTCTCCTCTACAAGATGGCGTAGTCAAGTTTTCAATTCGACATTTCTTCTATCGACTTCCACCACATAGTTGGCCATGAGTTTGTTACTCGATGAATGTTATAAGGAAATAAAAGGTATGGTGAAAACTGATGACAAAATCAAAATTTCATTGATAGTAATAGCAATAATAATTATAAATCAGCAGAGGTAAATAATAGCAGATGTTCACAATGTTGTACGTTATTGTGTAGGCAAGGCCTAAATCTTCTCTGTAAACTTTTTACTGCTAGATTTGTTTCTCTTCTTCTCAATCTTCCAAACTCTGTTGCTATGTTCAATTTGAGGTCTGGTATGGTATACGAAATAAATGAAATCTAATAATTTCAAGACCTACCTAGGAATAACTAAGGTTTGGCAATGTTAAACTATGACGTACTATAAATTTGTGAAATCAGAATCAAAAACATCAACTGCGCAAAAATCCAATATGACGTCCATAAGAAAAAATGAAGTTCATGCTGAAGGACCACTGAGAAAACGTTATATTGGAATTGGAATGTTGTAGAGGAGAAAAATTGGCAATGTTAACATTTAATTCAGAATCCCATCTCCAACTAAGTCGAGAAAGAACAAAAATGAAATCTGGTAGGCGAAACAAATGATAATTTCAAGGCCTCCTAGCAAAGTATACTTTTTTTGAAATAAGGTTTGCCAATATCAATGTATTATATATTATGCATTTTTGGAATCAGAATTGAAAACTCTATTCATCTGTACAAAAATTCAATATGCTGTCTATAAGAAAAAATAAAGTTGACCCTGGAGGACAAGAGTTGGAACGTCATATTGAAATTTCAAGCGTGTAGAGAAGAAACGGAGACAATGTTAGTGTAGAATTTATTTTGAAATTCCACTACACTCAATCTCAAACGATTTTGGGAAAATTCAGTTTTTGTCCGTCTCTCTCCGGAAGTACACATACTTCGGATTTCAAGACTTTATAAGCGACATTTTGGGTGTTTGTCCAGACGCTACGTTTTGCACAACCTTTCTAATTGGAAACGTTCATGCAGGGCCGTCTCAAGCCATGCGGGGGCTCTGGGACCTTGGGGCCCCCAAAAAAATCGACGACGACAGGCATACTTCTAATAAAACATATTTATTGAATTACAAATTCCCTTACAACAATATTATTGGCTTTTACCGTGATTTCATTTGGGCAAAATCTTCAATGGTGTCGTCAAACTGCAGTTGCTGCAAAACGTCACTGTCGATAGACATATGGGACAAACTGGTGAGGCGTTCTTGTGACATGGACGTTCTTGATTCATTTTTTGTTCTATTCAAATTTGAAAAAGACCGCTCTCCGCTGCAGTTAGTGACCATTAGACACAGGCAAATTCTTTTATGAATAAAGGTTGAAGTAGTCTATGTGATGGCTAGATGCCACAACCTGTAGCTTCGGTAACATTTTGATTATCATAGACAGAATTTGAATCTAACGCATTGCATATAAGCATTTGGCTTTTGGGGGCCCCCCATCATGACGGGGCCCTGGGCTCAACGAAAATTTGTGCTATTAGAATAATCAACTATCAAAGAATAATGTATTGTTAATTGACTAGATTGGGTGATACCTAACACAGCTGTTGGCGAGACTGTTAAGCATGATAAGGAACCAGATCTAGGTTTCTATAGCTATTTGAAGTATTTACTATCTATGTAGCCCTGCTTTAAGTAAGGGTTGAGACGACCATGCTTAGAAATATAGATCAACAACAATCCGTTTCTTCGGTTTCTGATTTGAGTGTGGTTATTTGATCGTAAACCACTTATGTTAAGCCACTGGGATTTCCAGATAGATTTGTCAAGGTCAGTACAGCTAGCATGATAGTAGTAGCATCAGTAGAGTTTTTCAGTTCTTCTTTGTCCACTATAAGCGTTTTTCATGAAACTAACTGTATTCTACCTTAGATGGTTTAAAAAACGGTCTACTAACAAAAATATGAATTATATCTGTTTTTGAGAATCGGCTCATTTATGGGAGAGTAATGGTGAAATCATTAACAACAAGTGTTTCCTCTATTATGGAAAGGATCACTTGGACTGAGCGGAACATTTGACATGAAGTTACAACCATGAATTAGATGAAAAAAGCATTGCACCTTTTGAAATTATATATTAGCGAGCGATACGTATTTCTGCTGGTTGGCATCATCAGGCCCGAAATGAATGCACATATGCAACTACAAAAGTAGATACACATCCGGATACGGGTGTAACCTGAGGAAACGAAGTTGGAGGGGAAAAAAACGACACACGAAGTCCACAACAAGAGCCAACCTACACATTGTAGTATGATCATATTCTCTATATTATATATATATATATATATATATAATATTATTATTATTATATATGCCCCGCTGATGGACCCTGGTCTTTTTCGAAATCTAGGTTCTTCCAGTCGTCATCAAAGTAAAGTTTCTGACACTTTTAAAATGTAGCTTGACTATTAATTCAGTTACTTTGGCAGTAGTAAATCTGGGATTCTGTTTTTTTAAGTTTAACGAGCCACATAATTGAAAATCACTATTTTCTATCGTCATCATTTAATATGTACTTTTTCATTGTCGCTGGATTGGACTATATTTTTAATATGTTTAAAGTAGTACCTTGCATACGACCTGACAGGACAATTTAACCCTTTCGGTACCGCTGACGGCAAGTTCCGACAGGAAGAAACTTGTCCCTAGGTCCAGTGTCGGCTGTCGATCATTTACGACACCTTTAAAAATTAAACTTCTCACAGGGACCAGTGTCTGCTAAATCCGCTCAGCACTGCATTTCCCCACAGACCAATGGCTTGAGAATCCGACACTGTCGAACATGGGCGACGGTGGACGCTCGGGGGAGTTCGGCGTCGAACACGTGGACCAGGCAAATCTACTTATTATGACTGGTTTGAAACAGTTTCGCGTTGTTATTGGGACATTGTAGACATAGTTAGTTTGTGTTTGACTCTTGTGTTGTTCTGTTCATTGTGCGAGATGGATAACGCTGAACCCAGTACATCTGACGGCCGAAAAGGACGAAATAAGCATAAAAGGGATAATGCAGGTGCGTGCTATTGTGGGCTGACCCCGGAGGAAGTCCGAAATCTTTCACAATATCTTATGAGCCCCGATGAGGATGAGCCCGAAGATCCCTTTGCTGACAGTGGAAGCGAGTTTATTCCCAGCTCGGAAGGTGAATCTTCAGAGTACGATTTCTTGCAAGTGTCTGAAGGTGAAGACAACAAGCATGATTCATCTCAAACGCCGGTCTTGGAACCTGAGACAGCAATGGACGAGAGAATGGATATTATTAGAGAACGTACGAGGTTAGAAATAAAATGGACGGATAAAGAGTTTATTCCGCAAGTTTTTGCATTTGATAGTACTAATAGCGGATTAAGAAATGTTAGTTTAAATGATCAAAGCAGTGAAGTAGATTTCTTTTTGAGTCTTTTATCTGAAAATATTATGAACGTCATTGCCATCCAAACAAATAGGTATGCCATTCAAAGAGATGCACCTAAGTGGAAAAGCATTGACATTCCAGAACTTTACGTATTTTTCGCTGTAACTCTGCTTATGACACGTGTAAAGAAACTGAATATTAAAGAGTACTGGACCCAAGATATCTTACTCAGCACTCCCGTTTTTGGACAGACTATGTCAAGAAACAGATATTGCGAGATACATCGCTATCTTCATTTCGCTAATAATGAGGAGGTAAAGCCTCACAATCGATTGGGGAAATTTGGAAATATTTTGACCGTTCTAAAAGAGAATTTCAAATCCCAGTTTTATCCTTTCGAACATTTGGTTATTGACGAAAGTATGGTCCTTTTCAAAGGTCGCCTCAGTTTTCGTCAATACATCAAAACAAAAAGACATAGGTTCGGAATCAAACTGTATGTCTTGTGTGATTGTGAGACTGGCATCGTCTTGGATTTTATAGTGTACGTAGGCAAAGGCACACAAGAAGATACTCGTGGATTGGGTGATACAGGTGAAATTGTCAGTAATCTATTACAACCATACATGAACAAGGGTCATTCTCTTTTTACTGACAACTTTTATACCAGTCCAACTTTGTCAACATTTCTATTTGAAAATAAAACCAATTCATGTGGGACCGTGAAACAAAATAGGAAAGAAATGCCAATTTTAGACAAAAAACTTAAGAGGGGTGCATGTGATTGGAGAAGCAGTGAAAACATGTTGGTGGTTAAATGGAAAGATCGGCGAGATGTCACTATGCTGACTACACTACATGAGAATAAAATGGTCAGTCTTCCAAGGAAGGATAGGGTCACAAATGAAAACCTTCAGAAGCCAGTATGTGTCTTGGAATATAACAAGCAAATGGGAGCTGTCGACCGAAGTGATATGATGATCAGCAGCATTGATTCAACGCGCAAAAGCATGAAATTGTATAAAAAACTATTTTTTCATACCACGGATATATGCTTATTGAATGCTCATGCCATGTATTTGACACAGAATCCAGCAAAAGTTCCACTGGCCACATTGCAACTTGCAGTGATTAGGCAGTTGTTGGAAAGGTACGTATATATATATATATATATATATATATATTTCTTTTTGTCTAAAAATAGTTCTATATTTCGATTTTTGCAGGTTTCAAAAAACAGCTTCGAGATCTGTTCACCTGGATCTTGGAAATAAAAGACTCACACAAAGACATTTTCCCGATCTGGTTACAGTCAAGGAAGGCAGCAAATCGGCCTACAGGAGATGCTATGTATGTTCCCACAGCAAACAAAAACCTAAGATAAGAAAAGAAACCAAATATATGTGTAAGGAATGCGATGTTGGGTTGTGTCCAGCTCCATGCTTCAAAATATATCATGAAGAAAATCACTTCTGAAGTAAAATGTCTTTCGAGTTTTTTTGATACGATGTGCTCTTATTTTTGTTTTTTTGTCTTTAGGTATTAGTTCTAGGGCTTCAATTTTAGTTTTGATTGACCTTCTTTAGTTCTATTTACTGCTGTTTGTATTTCTAAGTATGCTTTAATAGAATAAAAAAAGAATTATACTGTTTTATGATTTCGTCGGATATAGCCGTCACCGGGTCATATGACCATCCAAAAATTCTGGTCCAGCAGGCATGTTTTTTCGTGGACGCGTCGGTCCTGAAAGGGTTAAGATTCAAAATTACATCTTATATAGATTTGTCAAGGTCAGTACAGCTAGCATGATAGTAGTATCATCAGTAGGATTTTTCATTTCTTGTTAGTTCACTATAACCATTTTTAGTGAAACTAGCTTTATTCTACCTTAGATGGCGTAAAAGGCGGTCTACTAGCAAAAGTGTCAGATTTTTAATAGCTACTTGTAAACGTTTCGGAATACATTGTCTAATCGCCGACTCAGGTTTGATTGGACCCTGTAATACACATACTTGATTTTAGGTCAGGGAGATTGTTATTGTACATATATGTGTTGAGAGATTATTTGTATACTTTTATATAATAATTTGCACTGCCTGTGTAGGCACTCGGTTTCCCAGTACAGCGCCGTCACAGCCCGGGCTTTCAGGTATGTAGTATCATGGACTGTAATCAAAACAAAAAAAGCCTTCTATATGCACATATCTCAGGGGTTTTGTGGGCACAAGAATCAATAACTGTTACTAGTACCTACTAGGAACAAAAAATAATCATGAACACAGCTGAATAAATAGTCGTTCTAAAGAAATTATCAGTTGCATGTAAACATTTATCTTATAATATGCGAAAATTTCGATTTCCTCGATTGGTGAGGAAGTACTGTTACTACGAAAATATTCAAAGTGGACCTATTCGTATTTGTCGCTTGCCTATGTGGCAGTCTAGACTATCTATTGGACCTGCCAATATGTTAACTGGATGTTATGCACGTCACGAAAAAACATGACACTCATTTCCATACGTGTGTCTGAGTATCCGGTAATCGGTCGCCTCTCTATATTCGGTAAGTACTCATTGGCTTTTGTTAAAACTTTAAGCCAATGAGCGCGTTCAGCCATCGTGAAGCGGCAGCGCTTTTATGCCAAATGGCAGTAGCCGTGGAAAAGCTTTCACAGTTCACAGTAGACTGACAAAGCTATCCCATAGCATAGCTATTGCTATTGGCATACATACGATGTACCACTGGACCACTTTACGCTAACTGAACGCCCTCATTGTAATTGTGTACCATGCCAACGTCGAAATAAATAGGTTCGGTGACAGAAAGGTATAAGCGAGAAACAAAAAACAAGATGTTCCATATTTTTCGAGTTTCTGATTAGTTTAGGGCGTAACATTTTTTTTGTAGAAGCTCTATAATATTGAGGTCAGGCATGTTTCATTTATAGATAGATTGGGAAATGCGAATCGCGGCTACAGCAACACTGCACCTTCATAAACGTGTGCCGCAAGTTTCGAAGCAAACAGTAACAGTGTCGTCAGTCGTCACTCGTCAGTATACAGGTATGAGTTAAGGCGGTCGTGGTAGGCACGATGGATTTATCTGCTCGTGCGGGAACGGTTTCAGGAGAAGTTCGGTGATCAACGAAGCTTGCACAACACAACGATAAAGCCAGTGGTCGACCGTTTTCAGAATGAACATACACTGATGAGACGAAAGGGGAGTGGCCGTCAGCGCAGTGTAAAAACTCCAGGCTTAATTCTTTTGTGCGCCAGGGTTTGGTTCAGTTGGATACGGTCTTCTCACGATACACATACACTGAAGATAGGATATTGCGCATCTCGGCGGAGCTTCGTGACGTCACCCGGAGAGTTATCGCCTCATGGTTACCAGCAGCAGGATTGTCGTAACGTTACTGCAGTTCACGTGTATCGTGGTTAATACTATATAAGTGCGATTTGTTGTTGTTTTTTGGTGGTTTTGTGATTTGTTGAATTAGTCATACATACCTTATATACCCTGTGTGATTGATAAATTGATAAAAATGCAGTGCGCTGTTGTGGGATGTAATTCCGACAATCAATCTAAACGGAATCTTTGCAAAGACATGAAGTTCCACAGTTTTCCTGAAGACCCAAACTTTAGCAAAAAAATGGCTACATCTCACAAAAAGATAAGACAATGTCAATGTAAAAAGCGCTAGGGTTTGCTAGAAGATGCTCTAGAGGATCTGAAACGACGCTTCAGCGTCCAATACCTGTCAACAAGACATCTTAATCAAGATGTGAGAGAAAAAATTTTCGGAGTAATCAGGGCAAAATATGGTCTTCATGACCATACAAGTCCTCTACAGTTTAAGTATGGAATAAGGTCATATATGTTGGGGAGAACCTAAGGCGCATACTTAGAGTACCTATTGCCGCGTAGAGTCAGAGGATACTCCAGACATTCCACTAACCACTAACCGCATCATTACCGAGAATAAACTGAATGCACCTGAAGTATCAGCTGACTATACCGAGCAAGTTTTAGTGAAAGAAATAGATGAGCTCGAGTATGACGGGCTGGAAAATTTGGCCGGCTTTATTTGCAATAAATTGCAGGATGAGAGGTTGAAAAGTTCCTCAAATGAAACTTATTCATGGATAGATCATCTTAGTGAGGGTGGATTGTCAAAACGTTCCGCAAGTTTCATGAATCAAATTGAGAAGCTCAACATTCAATGGGGACGGAATAGTGACAAAAAAGCAAAATTTTATAGGTGAAGTTCCGTTGAAGAGCAGCAACATTGACCGCCCTGAAAAGGCTAAAAAACTGTTTTTCAAGTCAAGGATGTTCTTCCGGATCAAAGAACTGGATAAAAGTTTGAAAGACTAGAAAAATCGTAAAAGGAAATGGAAAAGAATTGTTGCTTAGACTAAGTCATTTCCGTTTATTGTTATACCGCCACCTTACTGCAAAAAGAAGATTAACCCCATTTTTTACTTTTCGAGTTG